TATATATATATATATATATATATATATATATATATATATGTCGTGTTATCCATATACTACGAACATCATCTTAGGTGGTTACTCATCTTGTGGGCGTTATCAGGGCTCAAATAATAAAGTATGCAGTGCTCAATACACAATTTAATCAGGGAAGTCACAATAATATCTAGCAGCTTAACATTAATGAACCTACGTAGCACAAGCTAGGGTGACTGAATTGACGAGGTTATGTAACATTGACAAGTCTGTGTGGCAAATGTAGTTTTAGTGGCGAGAGTCGCCGGAGTAGTAGCCTGTGAGGCACCGATTGGCCTGTGTGGCACCGACTGGCCTGTGTGGCACCGACTTGATTGACATACGAGAAACTTCTGTAATTTGTACTCAATGATAACTTCGTGTGTATAGTTTTTTAGGTTTTAGTTAGTCATTTTAAAGATTCAGTATTAACAAATTTGTCTTAAAGAAAACTAGTTAGGGAGAATGAATGATGTGAATCGCTGTATATTGTTAACATATAAAGCAAAAATTTGCCCAATACTCACTGTGTTCGGCACATTGGAATTTGTCTGTGTCTGTCTATGCCTGTCTGTGCGTACACTTTTGCACTAAATATCTACTGCACCGATGGCTAGTATTAGTAAGATTGGCCACCATGGTAAGTTATTTGGTCAGGAATAGCCGAGCTAATGTTACTTTTTCTATAGATCGATTTTCAATATCACACGAGGGCGCGTGAACAGCAGGACGGCCGTGGTAGAAGAAATAGCGGTGGTGAGTGCCCCACAAGATCACCCGAAGGCGTGTGAACAGCAGGACGGCCGAGACGGAGGAGGATTTAGTTACCTTTTTCTGTTATGAAACCTTATTATTGTTTAAAGTCACTATGTTCTTTAATTTACTTTTTATTGCGTTTAAAGTTATTTTGAACTTAGAGCAGAGATTTAGTCTCGAGCGGGGTCGAGACGCCATCACGACATTTCATTCTTTGGAGATACGTGGCTTAGTAACGTTGGTTATCATATCATGGTGAATCAGTTATGTTTGATATTGTAGTTGGAAGTCGATGATCGGTGACTGTGAACCCGCTAGCTCTAAATCATTAGAATTACCGTTTCAAGTTTATAACATTGTGACTTCCCTGATTAAATTGTGTATTGAGCACTGAATACTTTATTATTTGAGCCCTGATAACGCCCACAAGATGAGTAACCACTAAAGATGATGTTCGTAGTATATGGATAACACGACATATATATATATATATACATATATACATATATATATATATATATATATATATATATACACATTCAATCTTCCTGAAACACATTTACCTTCTTAGTATTTACATAATATATTTTGTATTCTCGCTTCCGCTTGTACAATATTTTACTCATCTTAGACGGGCTTAGTAGTTTCATGTGTACCACATCCGGTTACATGAACACGTCGTAAAACACTGTATTTTCACTCACAACTTGTACGATAGTTTTATCGTTGTCATATAAATTTTATATGAAAATATTGCTGAGGTAACTAACTTGAACCTTTTTGGAAAACCTTCATTTAAAAAACAAAACGTGAATTTTCTGAGTTGGTTTATATTTTGCTGCAATAAAAATAAAAAAAATAAAACCTATTACGGCTTCTTACTTAAAAATATTGTACGTTTTTAATAAATGTAGAGCGTTATTTTTAATTATTATTAACTGACTTCCAAAAACGAGTAGGTTCTTCGGATTTTTTTTTATATATGTTCACCGATTACTCGAAGACGTCTGAACCGATTTTAAAATTTTTGTTTTGTTTAAAAGAGTTTACTTCTTAGGTAGTCCCATATAAATTTTATCGAAATTGGTCAAGCAATTTTTAAAAAGTCAACAATAAATATTTATTAAACAAATTGTTTAATCGAATATGTCATTAAAAACTTTCTTTCTACAAATTACCTGCTTATTACGTCTACACTAAAAGTATAAAAATAAAAACTTAAAAAAAACCGACTTCCAGGCACTAAAATATAAAAAATAACTAAACGGGGGTTTTGATTAAGAATAAATACCTAATCAGATATTTTCGAAGACGGCGCCAGCGGACAATATTTTCAGACATGAATATCTAATAGGTAAATACGAGTATGTATTTTACGTATCAAAATATATTAGATTTCCGTCATTTGCGTCGGCATACTAAGCGGATAACTAAACTTGGCTCGACCTGGGACTTGAACCCGGGACCTCCGGGTGTGCAAGCCGTACATGCTAGCCACTACACCACCGAGGCAGTTAATAAAACGATATAATATAGATAGAAAGAATATATCATGTCATTTTTTGCAGCAAAAGTGCAAAGAAGAATGACGTCTAATGACTGAATGTAATACAAATATCAAACTGACACAAGTCATACTGCGCAAAAATAGTCTCATCTCGATTAATTTTATGTATGTCTATGTATTTAGCAATTTTAAACGTCCCAAAGCTGGGCGCAGGCCATAGCCCACAAGTGGGTTAAGTGCAGGTTGACGGACTTCACTTGTCTTTCGAAAACTTATTCAGAATGCAGATTTCCTCTGTCTGGATGACTTGAATTGGTTTTCCATACGAGCATGCACTGGGTTACCACTGCTTCTCGTCTAGTTAGAATTAAATAGTATTGATGTATACGAGTAGTTTTACACATATATATCCATACTAATATTATAAATGTGAAAGTGTGTTTGTTTGTCCGTCTTTCACGAGGAAACGGAATTACGGAGATAGTTGGAGAGCTGGAGAGTGACATAGGCTACTTTTTACCGCGGTAGATTATCTTATTCCCACGGGAAAACACGTTATAATATAACCCAAAAAAATATTTATTATCAGAATTACTTGAAACTTGGTATTAATGCTTTTCAATGCAATTAAATAAATACGTATTTTAGCATTTTCGAAATCCGTCCCATACGGGGGTGAAATAGGGGATGAAATTTTGTATGAAACCTTTTAAAACTTTTTTTTGTAATTTTTGCGCGAGCGAAACCGCGGGTTGTACTAGTCATACTATATATTTAATACATGCACAAGTAGCAAGTAGAACTTAGGATCATTATATTTGGTACTTAACAAAAAACATAAGAGTCTTTACTTATATTATCACAAGAAAACGTTTTAAGAGTTTCTTTCCTTCATATGTTACAATAATGAGGTTGTTCAAACAAGGGCGTAGATAAAAATGACGTCACATAAGGAGTTTCTTCAAAAAAGGCTTTATATCGTAAATTGACATAGCCCTTAAAAATATTTAAGTGCTAATGTGTGTTTGTTTTTTGTTCTATATGTATATATATAATAAAATTTTAACCAAGCCGAATCTGTACAATAATTTCTTTTTGGAAAATCTTATTGAAATAGACATTATTATCGATACAGAGGCCGAATCTATAGTATTTATAATTTTTGTCTATCTGTCTGTGACAGTGTAACGGAAAAACCACTGGAGAGATTTATATAATGAAATTTGGCATTAGTAAAGCTGTACTAAATCTCATTTGGATTGCAGTAATATTTAATTTAAAAGATATAAAGAAGAAGAAAGGCAAACACAAAACAGCTCAAGTACTTTATTCACCTCTGTTTGTCAACCGAATTTCTTTTTTTATTATCAGTAGCTATTGCTAGATAATTTATTGTCATTATTAAAAAAATGTTGCAACACTGGGAGATTCAGTTTCTGAAAATACATATATTATGTTATAACTTTAGCAATTGATATTATAATAATAGTCAATAGTATTGCCGAAAATTAAATTTAATTTACATTTGAAGTCAAATAAACAAAAGGATTCGTTGCTTCTTACATAATTAGAAAATCTTCAGCTTTCCATTTCCAGCTTTTATCGTTACACTTTTGATTTGAGAATATAATCTTATTAAAATACAAGCATTGCCCGCGGCTCTGCCCGCGTTCAGATGACCAAAAACCAAATTCTTAGGTTTTACATATTAGTATACTCTTACATTGAAGTTTTTGTATTTTTCTCTGAAATGAAACGTTTTCCCGCGGTAAAAAGTGTTCTATATGTTGACCCGGATAACCAGCTATCACCATACCAAGTTTCATCAAAATCCCTCCAGTGGTTTTTCTATGATGCGGTAACAGACAGATAGACAGACTAAAATTCTAAAAACTATAGATTCGGCCTCTGTATCGATAATAATGTCTATATAAATAAGATTTTCCAAAAAATATTTAATGTACAGATTCGGCTCCGTTACAATTTTATTATATGTATAGATGTACCATTTAAACATCTATTCATAATATTATTTTCTCCTAAAAGCTTTCTGAATAAAAAGAATCTTTCATACGCAAAATAAAGTAGTAAATAATAATCAACCGGTTTTATAAAACCTTATAAAAAGCCGCAAAACAAAAAGTTTTATAACGAGTACAATTTGTCATGTTTACTTTTCTGTAAGATATAACAAGCTTGGTTTAGAAGTTTTATCTGCCTTCTGATATTGAAACTTTTCAAACTTCTCTTTTATTCATACCCACCATTTTTATAAGACCAAATTTAAATTTTATATCTATACTAATATTATAAAGAGGCAGGGTTTGTTTGTTTGTTTATTTGTTTGTTTGAGATCACTTATCTCAGGAACTACTAATCTGATTTGAATAATTCTTTTTGCATTAGATAGTCCGTTTATTTAGGAGAGCTATAGGCTATATATAATCCTGAAAAAATGTACGGTTCCCGGGGATAGATTTGTTTTTGCCGAGAGATGAACCCGAAGCGAAGCGAGGGTGGGTCGCTAGTCTGGAAATGATTTTGTTATATTAAAATTATGTATTTTCTCTGTAATCAATAATTTTATTCACAATTCTAAACATGATAACAAGATAAATCGATAGCTAAAACCTATGTATACTTATATACAAACAAATATCACTACAAAAATATGAAAACAGCAACCTAAAATTGCGACAAGAAATTTGTTTAGAATACATTAAAAATCTAGATGGAAACCAAATCCGAAACGGACTCGTTTTTGTCTGTCTATGAGTGTACTGGCCATTAATCGTATTACTCGAACTTCGTTATGCGGTTCGTAAAACAAAAGGTCCCTCTGATAAGTGAAGCCGCCACAACGTTGGGAATCCACGAAAATTTTCAACTCTGACCCATTTTCATAGCTTTTATGAAGAGCCAAACCAACTGTAGCTGGACTTCTATTATTCTCGTTAACTATCGTTGCTATCCGTAAGTCTGGAGAGAATTGCTTGTAAAGACACACTTGGAAGCCCATTCTACTGATTGTTGAAGACAGCGTGAACGATGCTCGCTCGTATCTCGCACTGACTGACAAATCCGGTGATAAAGGATGCGATAAAGGCTTTAAACCGAACTCACTTCCAACACTGAACTCTGGAATCACTTTGTACATCCACTGAGTAACTAATTTCAACGTATTTGGGTCAACATCTCTCATGGAGCACGAAAAAGAACTAATCGTCTTTTCACCATCCTTTTCGAAGATTATCTCGGTTTCTGATGATACGAGGTCCTTGATTTTAGATGTTAACCGCATTTCGTAGTCGTCAACAGTTTCTTTGTAAGTAGCTATAGCTGAACCTGTTGCGTCGATAAGTAGACCATCCTCAACATTTTTTGCGTCCATTTCCTTATGAATGAAGTGTGTAAAGCACTTGTAAGTGTCATTAGTTTTTGCTAGATTGTAATTCTGGACGAGTTTTACTTTGTCCAGAATTTCCCTGAGAATAACCAGTTTGGCGCCAACAAAGCACTTTGGAAAGACACTTTTCGCTTCAGCGTGTACATCACTCAGTTTAGTCATATAAGTCTTTACAGGTTCAACTACTATTATTTCTTTTTTCCTGGGCAGTAACTTTTGTAGGCTCGAAATAAAATTCCCGACCTCTTGTTTGATGACGGATTCGTTTATATCCATTTGAAGTATAAGTATTATTTATTTTTGTATTTTTAAATTAATAAGTAACAGGTTTAACGTCATTGACCTGTCTACGAATATTTTTAACCGCAGTTTTGACGTGTGGCCAGACACACGCCGCAAGAAGTCTGATTATATTTAGTGTAAATAATACATTAGTATATATGATACTGTTGTGCAATATTGTACATATAATGCACTAGCAGAACCCGCGGCTTCGCTCGAGCTAAAACTACAAAAAATTTCTAAAAAGGTAGTTTCATACAAACTTTTATCCCCTATTTTACCCTCTTATGGGATGAATTACGATAAATGCTAAAACACGTATTTATTTAATTTTATTCAAGAATATAAATAACAAGTTTCAAGTAATTTTGATCATAAATATTTTTTGGACTTTTTTTATTATAACGTGTTTTCCCATGGGAATTAGATAATTTTCCGCGATAAAAAGTAGCCTAAGTCACTCATCATCCCTCCAACTATCTCATATCAGTTTCGACGTGAAATAAGGACAAAAAAACAAACAAACACACTTAATATTAGTATGGATATTATAAATATGTCATGTATTTATGTATGTATTTGATGATATTTCTGATGCTAGACACCTATAGACATATTATAGTCACATTAAAGTCATTCAATTATTTTAAAATAAATAAATATACTCACTTTTAGTCAGTAAAATCAAACATTTTTTCTTCCAAAATTAACAAATACAAAGTTGAATCTAAATGAACCCACAACCTTCGTCGAAGTAGATATTACCTGTTAGATGTAGTACAATCTATAATACTATGATTCTACAACGATCAAAGCAATATACTTATTTTAATTAAATTTTCAGTGTTGCCAATATCCACCACGTTTTCGTACACGTAGTATTCGATGTGGAAATCGATACATGTAATTAAAATCGGGTTGCCAATTTGTGTACATTAAATATTTAAAATTCCCATTAATAGTACGTCAGTTTAACGTAATAGGATGCCCTGAGCCTTTTTGAACATGACAGTAGATGTTTATAATAATAAACCATATTAGGTACATAAGTATTCCTTGAATTTTGTACCCAAGTTAATTCTATGTATTACATTTCTAAACAAAACAGTTATAGCAGGTTCAATATCGTTGTGTGTAAAATATTTTGAAAACTTTTTTTATTTAATTAATTGTATCTTTTTATTTCATAGATATGTCACAAAATTTTTTTTTGTGTGTAATAATATTTTTTGTCTGAATAAATCGAATAGGGTATCAAAATATAGATTTTTAAGAGGCTATTACAAAAATATTTACAACTTATACGTTTAAAAATAATTTAGGATAAGATATTGTTAAATAAAACTAAAAATGTCTGACTGACCTATGTATATATGATGATGATGTGATGTTCTCCTAGCCGATTCCGGCCACGGCGGCCAATCTCAATGAGATTAGCCAACTACGCAGGAGATATTATAGTGCTCAAGTGTACGCGCAGACACAAGTGCACTCTCTATTCCTATCACTCTCATACTCCGGTGGGACGATCACTCGACACGACCGGTGAGAGTTAAGGCGCAGGACCGACGGCTTTACGTGCTCTCCGAGGCACGGGGGTAAAACACCGCCAACTTCCCAACTCCGGGCTGTTACTGGAACTTACTATACAGGAAGACTCAATAACTAAACTTGGCCCGACCCGGGATTCGAACCCAGGACCTCCGGGTGTGCAGCCGTACATGCTAGCCACTACACCACCGAGGCAGTTATGTATGTATATATATATATATATATATATATATACATATATATATATATATATATATATACATATATTGTACATTTTTATATAAGCTGCGAGTCTTGCCACATATATTGTATGTATGTCTCCGACTGCATAGTATGAGAACAAGTTAACGAAGGAACATCTTTTTTACACAGTCGAGTATTTTTTTTATTTTCTAAATATTTTTTATGATGTAACAAGATATGTAAATGATTATATTTTTATAAAATAGTCTATAAATTAGTTTTAATTTTGTTTTAAACCGTATATTTTGTATTGAATACAGCAAAAATGTATCGATTTATCTTGTTTTTAGATAATTTTTCATAAAGAAAACCTACCCTTAGATATTTCCATAACGTAAGTGTTCAATTATTTATCTTTATATTAAGGATTCTTATACAAAAGATTATATCAGTCCCATTGTACCTTATATCAGACAAAGAATAGACAAGCTCGGCCCAATGTTATAGGTATTCAAATTCAAACAAGGTCTTGGCCATTTCTGATTCGGGTCTAGAAGATATATGATGAAAGGCTTTCATATTTTGCTCTTTCAAAAAAATAATTCTAAGTATAATATAATGGTTCCATTTCCATATCTAATAAAAGCAAGTGATAACGTGATTATTATTTGCTAGTACGGTAAAGGAAAACAGCGTTAGGACCTGCATGTCTGAGTGAACCTAGCAAGTTTTCGAAAGACATGTGAAGTCCGCTCGCACATGGTCAGTGCGGTGGAATATGACCTGATTTCTCGTATTGAAGGGCCGTGCCTACCTGTGGGACGTTTAACAGGGCTGAATAAAATTCCATTGTAAGAACAGTATGTTGTATATCTTTTATTCCACACCATATCACCAGACATAGAAGGAGTCAAGACACATTTTTTTTATTGTTGGGAAATGCATTTACGTATATCACCAGGTGGTTATCTGGGACTCACCGGTTGGAAAAACCAGTGCTACCCACTAAAACCCAACAAAACCTCCCCCGTTTCAATGGGGTATCGCAGTATCACTTACGCACTAAACCACGACGAGGAGGTCAAGACACATTGCCTAACCTAACTCAGAAAATTATTATTCTAATCTTACTTTTCTATTTTAAATTAATAGAACAAGGACAATAGGGATGCTGACACTTTATACGGCGTACATGTTTATTACATGTTATAATTAAATCTCAATAACGCGTTCGGTAATGGATAATTAATCTTAAATTACTAACAGGCTTTTGTTATATCTGCAATCGCTTTTCATAAGCAAAATTGCTATACTATTGGTAGGTACATAATACATATGATAAGAAAGTGTTATGATTGTATATGTTTAACGATTATCGAATATCTTTTCATAAAAAATATTTTCAAGGATTACGGAATTCACAACAACATAAAAAATGAAAGCGAAAATCATGGACTTTATAGTTTTTCTGTGCATCTGTCTATTGATTCACAAATTACGAAATAAAAAATTCAAAAAACCGACTTCAAATAAAAAAAACACTAAAAAGTAAAATGTGACTGAGTGTTAGTTTTCATTTACTATACTCGTAGATACCTAAGCAGATATCGGCTGGCACCGATATCTGATTAGGTATCTACGAGTATAGATTATACGAGTATTAGATTATACCCTATCCAATAAAAAAGGATCATCGAAATCGGACTACAAAGTAAAAAGTAAAATCCGTGGTCGAACATAAATTTAAAAAAATACGTGTCGAATTCCTCCATTTTTTCGTCGGTTAAAAATGGTAGGATAGAATATGTTTTATATGCTGTTTGCCTATAATAACTTCTCTTACTAAATTGGTTATAAAATGGAGTTTTTTTCTATAGTTTTTAAGCTATAAATCGGACCAGTACAATAGAGATTAGCGAGTTTAAACAAACAAACAAAAAAACAAACAAACAAACAAACAAACAAACTTTTACGATTACTTATTCGATTATTTTAAAAGAAACCAAAGCTCAAAAGCTAAAGCTATGTAATACCTACATACATATATCATCCACTTTGAATTTCTATTTTCTAAAGTATGCACGTATATTTTCCAACGTGTCTTTAATTTTCCGCCATCGCCTTTTAATCCCACTATGTAACAGTGATTTATTATTTGCGTCGGCAATTCACCACCTGTCTACTTTAGTACTCTTGAGTATACCCCTTTTAAGGCATTGCTATCAGAAAGCCACTAAAGGAAAACTGTTGGTAGCAATCGTTCCGTTTCTATTTATGAGATATTTGTTTTGCTCTGAAACTTTAACTAATTCTGTATGAAGGTGGAATTTGTTTTTGTGTATTGATTGTATGATTCATGCAAAGTACAATCATTTTATTTATCAATACAAGCAATAAATACAAAAATTACAGATAAAAAATATCTCGAAATTTCCATTTTTTTTTTTGGGCAATGCAATCCATTTTTTTGTCTGACTCTTATAGACATGACCTTTTATGAATATTTAGAATAAATTAAAATCGGAAGCCGCGTTTAAGAGTTTCGCTTACCAACGAATAGCATTTAATTTGTATTATATACATTTATGTGTTATCTAAGTTAAATAAAGATTTCTATATGAAACCTTTATAAATATGGTGATAATGTTCCAGTAAAAAAATATCTAGTAATTTCTGTACACGCAGGATGACGATAAAATCTAATCAAAACGAAGGCTGATGGCTAATATACTTGTGTTCTGGATAGTGGTACAATATCCTTAATACTGATACCGTCGAACTGATCGAATAATGAAGCCAAGATGGGTTCCATGGGTAACGAAACTCTTTAATAGATAGTAGTAATACCTTAGCGTTTAAGCTCATTTGATTCGTTTTCACAGCCCTTTACATAACAGATACTTAAAATTTTGCTTTAGATATATTTTTAATTTCCTTAAAATTTCAATTTTACTTAAAACTTGTGAAGCGTATCAATTATTGATCTTAATTCCAACAAAGAACGGTTAAACCCAAACTTCTCACATTAACACTAAGTAGAATTGCAAGTACAAATTCAAATGTTTCACAAATGATATCCTTCGAAATTGAATATAGTCGAATGTAAATCGCATTTGTGGGTTCTCAATCGTCAAAGCAGATAAGTCTTTGATCGCACGAGCGAATCAAAAGACCATTTTCAATTACATAAACGTCTAATCTCCGTTAACCGCTTTATTATTATGGTAGGTACGTATTATCTACACATACGTATACTTAAT